CAGGGTTCTCAGTGGATGATGTTTCATAAGTAGATCCCATTCATGGTGCCCCATGTGGTTAGAGTAGAACTGTGCCCACAGGGTTCTCAGTGGATTGCCAGTTCTTTCCTTGTTGGCATCTCAAGGTGGATTTGAGTCTCCCACCTTTCAGGTAGCAGCCAGGATTCCTCACCCAGATAGTAAAACATCAGAAAGCTCTCTCTCCTGTGTTTGATGGTTTATCAATTCAGCAGTGCCAGTTTTACATTCTTCCTTCCGTAGTAGAGACCCCACTTCCTAAATGAGAACTTAACAAGGTGTAAAAATAAAACTTAACTCTAAATCAAGCACCTGTCTCCCCAAATGTTTGGGAATACTGCTGTGCGTATGGTGGTGTTGCTGTTAGATACTATCGAGTCAGTTCTGAATCATAGCGACCCCCCTGTACAGTATGAAACACTGCCCGATCCTGCGTCTTCCTCACACTTGTGTTTGAACCCATTGCTGCTGCCACTGTGTCCGTTGGGGGTCTTCCTCTTTTTCGCTGACACTCCACTTTACCAACTATGATGTCCTTCTCCAGAGACCGGTCCCTCCTGACAACATGGCCTGACCCAAGCCATGGTATTTTCAGTAACCTCATATGAATGCGAAAACTGGACAGTGAATAAGGAAGATCGTAGAAGAATTGATGCCTTTGAGTTGTGGTGTTGGAGGAGAATACTGAAAGTGCCATGGACTGCCAAAAGAACCAATAGATCTGTGTTGGAAGAAGTGCAGCCAGAGTGCTCCTTGGAGGCCAGGATGGCTAAGCTTCGTCTCTCCTACTTTGGACATATTGTCAGGAGGGACCAGTTACTGGAGAAGGATATCATGTTTGGTAAGGTGGAGGGTCAGAGAAAAAGAGGAAGACCCCCAACGAGATGGATCGGCCAGGTGGCATCATTGATGGCATCAAGTGTGGCAGCGGTAGTGAGGTTGGCCCAGGATCGGACCTTGTTTCGTTCTGCTGTGCATGGGGTCGCTATGAGTCGGTTCTGACTCGATGGCACCTGACAACAACAACAACAGGAACTGAATGTTTGGTTGGTTGGTTGTTCGAATTCACCCAGAAGCACCTTGGAAAAAAGACCTGGCAATCTATTGAGAACTCTGTTATTGAAGATGCTAAGGAGCTCTGGTGTGTTCAGTTCTGACCCACATGGGACTGCCTTGAGTTGGAATTGACTTGATGGCAAAGGTGAGGGTTTTTGGTTTCTATCAGATTGTTTTTAGAAGTCATATTCAATATGCCTTTCATATGGAAGAGATTATGTCTCAAATTCTTCCCACCCTCCCCTTTTTCTGAGTATAAGTTTGGAGATCAGATTGTAGCTGTTTACTCACTGTTTGTGGGCCTTGTAAGACTGAAGCGCACAGATAGGAGGCCCCACCAAACAGCTCCCAATGTTCCTGAAGGCATCTTCCTGACGCCTCATTGTGCCCCTGAAAGAGGATTCTGGGGTGCTGAGAGTCTGTGAGCTCACAGTGATGTAGCTCAGTCTTCCCCCAGCCCCACCACTGACATCTGCCCCCTACCTGCAAGGAGGCTTCAATATGGCTTTGGGATGACCAGTTGGCCAGTCCCAGACTCTGCTCTTTGGAACACTGCTCACCTGAACCCTCACACTCTGCTTATCTGCCAGGTTGCTGACAAGGTGAAGCAGTTTTTCAGCAAGTACTCAGCAAACAGACACAAAATGACCACACTCACCCCTGCCTACCATGCTGAGAGCTACAGCCCCGATGACAACAGGTTTGACCTGAGACCGTTTCTGTACCGTACGAGCTGGCCATGGCAATTCCACTGCATTGAGACGGAGGTGAGTGAGTTGTGAGGTGATGCCCCTCTGTTCTCAGTACCTGGAGGGGCTGGCAGCACATTTCACTCCGTCCACTGGACTCCCGCTCACAGTGACCCTTGGGGACAAAACTGCCCCATTGGGTTTCCTGGGCTGTACATCGTCCTAGAAGCAGACAGCCTTATCTTTTTTCTGAAGAGCAGCTGTGGATTTGAACCACTGACCTTGTAACCATTAGCCCAACACTTAACCCGTGGTACCAGCAGCAATCTGCACGTGGGGTTCTTGTTGAACATTTCCTTGCAATTTGGGTGTAACCTGACAGAGCCAATTCATTTCCCATTCAACAATTTTGTTTCCTGACGTCAGTTTCAGCCCCCTCAGTGTAACAGCGTTCCTCCCACTTCCTCCCTGGACCCCCTGTTTCCATTCATCCTTCTTTCCCGCTCACTTCCTGTCTTCTGCATTTTCTTTTGGGGCCCATGCTACCCTGTGGGTCTCCTGTGGTTGTTGGTTCTAAGGAATGTGTTCCTCATGTATGTTATTATTCACGTTACAGACCTGTCTGTTTGGCTACAAGGTGGGTCCCCTGGGGGTGGGTTCAGCCCCAGGTTTCAGGGTGTTCCTCATGGTGTTTCTAAACTGTTCGTGTTTCTACAAAGGAATTCAAAGCGAAAGATCACACTAGCGACTGCTGAGTTGATTTTCGCGCCAGGCGGCAGCGTTGCCCTCCATAGAGTTTTCAAGATTGTGATCTTTTGGAAGCAGATCACCAGGCTTTTCTTCCGAGGTGTCCATGGGTGGCCTCGAACCTGCCACCTTTGGCTTAGCCACCAAGCGTGTTCAGCGTTTGACCACTGGGGCTTTCAGATACTGTTTGAGAACCTGCTCTGTTCATCTCATGTTTGGACCACCTGTTGGCATAGCCAACATGAAGTTTCCCCTGCTGCCCCCTTTCCAGGTCCGACAGCTTGAGGGGAATAAGCAGCAGGACCTGGACGGCGTGGACTGAAACTTCTTCCCTAGACGGGTCCTGGACACGCAGTCTGCATCGAGAGTGGTGGAGACCATTGACTCCTGCGGCAGTTCTTGTGGAACTCTTTCGTTCTGTTTTCTCAAAGAGGTTACAATAAATAAGAGCATCCCTGCCCTCACCCTGGGGTCCTCCTTGAAGCGTCTGCGTGGAATGAAGGCGGAGGGATCAGATCTGTGCGTGTGTGTCTGGGGGGTGGGGGCAGCGTGGGGGTGTCCTGGGCAGAGAGGGAGGGGCTAGAGAATATCTCTCTCCTGGTCCCCGGCTACCTGTCTGTGTGAGACCTGGAAGCCATCCTTACATCTGTCCTGGGCAGTCTGTGAGCGACCAGCCTTGGAGATGGAGCCAGGTAGAATAGCGC